CCCCGGGGGACCCCCGCTCCTACCGGCACGGGTGGGCCGCAGGCAGCAGGTCCAGCGGCCGGCGCGGAAGGTGCCGGGGTGGCAAGTGGGCAGCATGTCCCTGTTGGCGCTGGTGGCCTGGCGCAGAGCCCACAGCCACTGCCACAGCTCCGGGGAGCTCTGCGGGGACAGCAGGGACCGGGACACCCCGGGCTGGGCACTGCCAGCGCGGGGGAGGAGGAGGAGGGAGGAGGAAGGGACGGGCACCAAGGCTGGGGGACAGGAGTGACAGTTTGGTGGCACAGCTGCCCGGTGGGAAGTGAGGGGAGATGGTGCTGCAGGAGCCGGGGTACACCAGGGTCCCCAGTATGAACAGGGCTGGTACCCCAGTGACCCCAGTACAGCCAGGGTACAACAGCCCAGCTTCCCCAGTATACCCAGTTAGCCCCTCGACCTCAGCACTCCCAGTGCTCCCAGTACAGCACGTGCCTGGTACAGCCGGATTTGGGACCGCTCCCATTGTCCCATGGGACAGCCCTGGCTGGCTGCTGGGGATGGGGTCCCCCAGGGCGTTGTGGTGGGGGGTTCCTGGGCTTTTTGGGGTGCTGGGCAGGGTGGGGTCACCCACCTTGCACTGGAGGTAGGTGGTGTGGAGCTGCCCGGTGTCATCCTGTGCCACCACCTGCAGGACGTGGGGGTGCTGGAAGGTGCCCTTGTCCACCTGCTCCACTGCCCGGATCCGCTCCACTGGGATGGAGCCGAGCGCCTGGGGACCCCCAAACACCCCAAAATGTGTGCACTCACATCCGAAACCACCACTCACTCCACTGGGGTGGAACAGTGCACTTGGATACCCCCAAACACCCCGAAATATGTGTCCATGTCCATTACCCATATCCATGGAAAACCTGGGGACCCCCAAACATCCCAAAATATGTGCCCATGTCCATATCCTCTACTCATTCCACTGGGATGGAGAAGCTCACCTGGATAACCCCAAACACCCCAAAAGATGTGCCCACGTCCTTCCCCCCACCTCTGGGCACCCAGCACAGGGTGGGGTTCCAGGGCAGCACCCACCTGCCCTTGGGGGACCTTGGCATAGGCCAGGGCCTGGCTGCTGAGCCTGAAGTGCCTCTTCTTGAAGGCGAAGCGGGGCAGCAGTGCCACCCCCCGCTCTGGGCAGGTGTGCAGGGGACCCTCCTTGATGGTGGCCGAGGGCTGGGGATGTCCCTGTGGCACTGGCACCTCGCCCACTGTGGCCGTGGCAGGGAGGCAGCGGTGTCACCCCAAATGCCACCAACTCCCACAGCCACTGACGTGGCACCAGTAATGTCCCCTCCCTGCCCACTGTCCCTGCTCACCCTCGGGGCTCTCCACGGTGACCAGGGCATCCAGGAAGGCCCGGACACGGGTGACACTGGGCAGGAGGACGGAGTTCAGCGGCACCATCCAGGGCTCCTTGCCCTGCCCCAGCTGCAGCCCCAGGTTCCCGATGCTCTGCAGCGCCTGTCCCACGCAGGGAAGGGGTCAGGCTGCTGTGTGACCCCCTGGACCCCCCTGGCTGCTCCCCTGGACCCCGAGGGCTCAGGGGTTGGGGATGGGAAAAGTGGAGCAGCTGGAGGGGTGATGGGAGCCAAATTCTGCACCTGAGCCGTGCCCAGCTTGTGCTGGAATGTCCTGGGGACAGGCAGGACTGGCCTCAAGTGGCACAGGAAGGAGCCAGCCCATGGTGTGTGGCAGAGGGACAGGAATGGCTCTGCCCTCCTTGGGGTCCCCATCGTTCCCTGGGGGTTCTGTCCCTCCCCAGGGTCTCCTGCCTTTCTGGCATCCCCATTCCTTGTGGGTTCCCATCTCTCCACATCCCTCACAGAAGTCTCTGTCCTTTCTGAGGTTTCTCCCTGAAGTCCCAAACCCTCTCTGGGCAGTCCCTAACCCTCCACCCAAACCCTTGTATCTCCCAGTGGTCCCCATCCCTGTGCAGGTCCCTCACCCACCCCAAGGGTCCCCATTCATCCCCAAGGACCCCATCCCTCTCCAAGGGTTCCCGTCCCTCACTGGAGTCTCCATCCCTCCTCAAGACCCCTGTCCATCCCCAAGGATCCCCATCCCTCCCCAAGGGTCCCCATCCCTCCCCAGGATTCCCACCCTCCGTAGGGATCCCCATCCCTTCCCTGGGCTCCCCAACCCTCTCCTGTGGTTCCCATCCCTCCCCAGTGTCTCCCTCCCTTCCCAAGGATCCCCATCCCCCCCCGATGTCCCCTCCTTTCCCAAGGGTCCCCACTCCTCCCTGGTGTCCCCATCCTTTCCCCCACCTTGGCGAGCAGCAGGAGCGTGCGGCCGGTGCAGGGCTCCGCGTGCTGCTCCCGGAGCCCAAAGAGCTTCGGGGTGAGGACGGCAGGAGCGAAGAAGCGAAGGAAGAGAAACCCACTGATGGAGAAGTACCGGACCTCCTGGGTGGGGAACAGGGACAGGGATGGGGACAGGGACAGCCCAGAGTTTGGGGTGGTGGTCCTGGGGTTGTGCAGACCCCCAGCCCCACCGTGGCCCCACCTCGTGCTGTGCCGAGGGGAATCGCTCCTCCGCCCGCCTGCGCAGCTGCTTGAAGGCCACCCTCATGGGGAGGGGACACTTGTCCACCGAGCCCACAATGGCATCGATGATGTCCCCCAGGTAGCCCTTCAGCAGCTCCAGGCTGCTCTCCCGCACCTGCGCCTCCGACAGGGACCCCTTGAAGGAGATCCTCCTGTGGGGACACCGCCGGCTCAGGGACACCAGGAACGGGGACCCTGAGCTGGCCAAAAGTGACCCGTGGGCTCAGCAGCAATAGGTGGTCCCTTCCTGCAGGGGACACAGGGACATGCCAGGTGCCCTGTGCCCCTCCCAGACATCCCCCTGTGCCCACCTGCCCCGGCTCAGCTCCATCTTGCTGGGGTCCAGCTCCACGTACTTCTTCTCCTCAAAGACGCGGTTCACCACCGGCTTCAGGACCCCGTGCAGGTAGGGCAGCCCCACCACCTGCAAGGGATGGGAAGGCACTGTCCTTGTCCCCAGGTGCCCTGCTGGGACATCATGGAAGTGTCCCTTCCCATGCTCACCCTCATGAACTGCTCCATGGATTTGGAGGCCAGCGAGTTGGAGCGGAAGAGGGTGTTGGGATCAGCTGGAAGAGCACAGAGGCAAGGCAGGCACAGGGTGACGTCCCAGCTGTCCCTGGTGTCCCCAACCTCAGGGACACGTGGCACCTTTCCTGCCTCCTCCTTGGTGTCTCACTCTTTCTCCCTGGAGATCTGGGAGGAGCCTGGCTTGGGGTTTCTCGGGGTGGCCTTGGGCACTTACTGGTCCTGGCCAGCTCGCGGGTGGTGAGGTAGTCCAGGAGGGGCACAGCCAACCCCTGGCCCAAGAAGATCTTCACCAACTTGGTGGCCACGTCCTGCCGGCTCTCCCCTGAGGTCACCTCCTCCAGGACAGCCAGGGCCGTGCCCTCGGGGGACTGTGGGGAGGGCAGGGTGGGCACAGCGAGGCCTCCACACTGCGAGGTCACCCCAAAGCTCCCCGCAGCCCCAGCACCCACCTGGGCCGGGCAGAGGATGGGCTCAGTGAGGAGCTGGATGAGGGGCTGGTAGTGGTGGGAGGGCAGGACAGTGTCCTCCAGCAGCCTCACTGCCAGCCTCAGGGCCCCCAGCTGTCCCCTGCAATGACACGGGGGACTCACACAGGTCCCTCCATGGGGGCCACCTCGTTCTGCTTTGGTCACAACCAGCTGTCCCCTCTGCCTGCACTCACCCGTGGTCCTTGGTGGTGCTGGGGAAGGGCAGGAGCTGGAACCAGCCCCTGGTGGGGCCTGGGCTGAGGGTGTCCAAGCAGAACTCCACCTGGGGGACAGAGGCAGGTCTGGATGGGGGGAGGACGTGCCAGTCCCCTGTGCTGCACCTCCCTTGGGGACAGCCCAGGACACGCAGGGTGGCACTGCCCCATCCCGGTGGGTGCTAACCTGTGGTCACCCAGACCCCACACAGGGGGGTGCAGAGGTGCCCCCAGGACCCTGCCCCATTCCGGCGTGCCCCGAGGTCCTCACCCGGCCCAGGAAGTCATTCTTGCCCACGATGTCCCAGTCCCAAACCTCCACGCTCAGCGCAGCCTCTCCCAGCTCCCCTTCCGGCAGCTCGAACTCCAGCACCTCATCCCAGTGCGGGAAGCGGCTTCTCTTGACCACCTGCTGGGCACAGGGACTGCTGACCGAGGGGGCGCCTGAGGGTCCCTGAGCCTCCTGGCTCGGGTGGGGACCGGCTGCCACAGCCAGCAGCCAGCCCTGACTCACGGCTGTCTCCAACGTGTGCCCGCAGCACGACACCCGGCCAAAGGGGTCCGAGGTGCCCGAGGGGTCGCGGGGGGCCAGGTCCCTGTGAAGACATGGCGGTCAGCGGGGGCACAGCGGGTTTGTCCCCACCATCGTGGTCCCTGCAGCCCCACGTCCCCCCTTTGTCCCAGCTCGCCCGGGCATGTGGGGCAGATGCTGGGGAGGGAGACCGTGCCCCCACTTCCAGGGGAGCTCTTCCTCCTCCAGTCCCTAGTGGGGGGTGCTGCCGTCCCTCCTGGCTGTCCCCATGGCCACCCTGTCCCCATGGCCATCCTGTTGCCTTGGTAGCCGCTTTGGTTGCCATGGCAGCGGGATGCTGCCTCTGCCGGCTGCTCCATCTGTCAGCTGTGCGTGTCTGTGTGTGTGTCACCGTGAGTGTGTCACCGCGTGTGTGTCACCGCGTGTGTGCCCCCGTGCACGCTCACACGCGTGCACACACTTGTACACACATCTACACCCCCAAACCCAGACGGGCAGCCCGGGACGTGCCTCAGTTTCCCCAAATTTGAAAGCAAAGGGCAAAAAATATGGTGTGAGAGCCAACCATTCTGCTGGGGACCAACCCCGGGTACTCCATGGGGCTCCTGTGTCCCTGTCCCCAAGCAGGGACGGCAGCACATTTCCCACTGAGCCCCCACGGCATCATCACACGTGGATTGGCACCGCTGATGTCCCCAACCTGGCGCAGCGAGGATCCTTCCCAGTGTGGAAAACAAAACACAAACCCCACCACTGTCCCCACCCCCTCCTCTCCTCCCTCCCACCAACACGAAGACCCCGCGGTGGCCGCGGCCCCCCGGCGGT